GTCCTTCAGGCAAACCTGTTGGGCTCACCTTGGTTGTGCCCATGCCAGGGTGAGGAGCAGGGGCCTGTGCCCAGCCACGTGCCAAGCACCCTTCTCTGGACAGCCAGACTCTTGCTTCCCTCCTGCACAAAGCTGCATTGCCCCATCCCTGCTCAGCTCTGCTCCAGGTGGATGAGAGATGGAGATCTCCATGTTCATGGTGGCACCTTGGCATGTCCTGAGGGGCTGAAAGCCCAGGAGCTGTCCTGGCTGCATTCTGAACTGGATCAGGCTGCAGCCTGTGACCTTGGAGCAGGGAGCTCTGGACGTTGGAGGCAGATGTTCAGGATGCAGGCACAGGAATGGCAGGGATGTGGCATCCCAGTGGAGCAGCCATGTCCCTGCTAGCGTGGTGCACACAGAGATGTGTGATGTGTTTTGGCCAAGGCAGGAGCAAGTCAGAAAAGAACCAGCCAGGCTTTGGAGGGGCTGTTCTCTGCACAGCCAGGTCGGGATGATCTCCAGCCCTTGCATGACCCAGGAGCAGGGGGAGCCAGGCAGGGACACTCAGCGACCCCTCATGGGCGGGGTGGGTTTGTGTGAGCACCTGCTTGTGCTGCCATCCTCCCCTCCATCCTTGTTCCCATCCCTCCTCAGTCCCCAGCATCCATCCCCTCCTCCCCGAGTTTCCTGCAGCGTCACTGCTCCCTCAGCCCAGGGCAAGGCTACGGAGAACAGCTGTGAATCACCGAGCCTGGAGGAGCCCGTTCTCCCGCAGCCGGCAGAGAAGGAAGCTCTCCCACAGTGATGCTCCCGTTTGGAATCACCAGCATTTCTCCTATGAGTCTCTGTGCAATATTCTTCCTCAGGCTCTAGCAAGAAGCAGCCTATGCTTCACTTCTTGGCTTCCACCAAAGAACTTGCTGCAGACTGTGTGATGGACACGTCTGTTCATTGCAATTCTGATTTTGCCAAAGTAAATATTGTTGCTGAAAAAGATTGTTAAACTATTTACAGACTGAGTGTATTTAATATTTGTGTTACTGGAAGGACAGCACACGGAGATGAAGCTGCTGGGAGAAGGTCCAGCCTGGCCGTGGCTCCCGTGGCGCTTCCCCAGGGATGTTGGAGCTGTTGGAGGCATTTCTGCAGCCCCCAGTCCCTGGCCTTGTTGCATGCTGTATAAAGCACATGGCAGTAGCTTTCAGGTCACTATTTAAAGCACCACTTTTCTATTGTACAAATGTCACAGGGCACTCCTAGGATAGACAATCACAGGTTGCATTTTTTTAAAATAATTTCTTTTTTCTAAGTGAGAGATTTTTTGAAGCCAGTCCGTGGAGAATACTCAGAGCACTTGAACCAGAGTAGTGTTAGCTGCTTCACTGCAGCCTTGTACAGAGCTTTCCAGGTAACTTTCTCCTCTCGACAAATGTATTTCTTTATTTAAAGGGATGCTGTCAGCTTCAAACCTGTAAGCAAGCACATTTCCTTACCTATGTTACCAGCAACACCTTCATTATTAAAACCCTTGTCTTGCCACTCTGTCTGCTCATGGTTTGCTGTTTGATTTCACCACCACCTGGTACCAGCTCCATGCCCTGGGACAATTACAGTCCTTCAAGGCCAGAAGTATTTCATTGATGGCAGCAGTTTCTCCTGGAAGATTTCTGAACACACTAGCCAGAGTCTCCTATTTCTGCTGGCTTTTTCTTCTGTTGGCTCCGGTTTTGCTTTGTTTTTCTGCAAACTCCACTCCTTGGGTCAGGTCCCCCTTGAAAAGCAGAGCTGACCCCCTGTCCAGTCCYCCTGGTGTTTTTGTCAGCACTGGGCTGGTGGCTGCAAGGCACTGAAYACAGGCAGAGCTCTCACAGCCAAACCTCCCACTGCCCTCATGCAGAGCAGGCTGAGACCTGTCCTTAGGGGATCTTGGATCCTTCTCCACAGCAGCCTTAGTGCCTGTTTCTGGATTTGTCACATCTTTCCTTTGATTAGAAAAGGTTCCCCAGGTATTTGCCCACCTGGGTGCAAGGAGGGACTGCCCAGATGGGCTAAAGGTGAAATTTCCTGAGACATTACTCAAGTGAATCTGAAAAGATGTGGATGAACAAATAACCAGTTCCTGTGAACATCTTTTAATGTCTAACCCACAGCCTACAGCCAGGCATGCTGTGATGAATTGCCTGTTCTTGCACCATGCAGTGCCTCCCCCACCACAGTCACTGGGACATCCACAGCATCTCTCCACCAGCTCCCAGCCCAAGACAGACCCACAGTTCAGGAGTTTCCCTCCCCAGTGACAACACATGTTCCTCAGCCCTGCTGCCCTGGGTGCATTGGGATGAGGAGGTGGCCRAGCAGGAACTTTAATGTGCCCCCACAGACTCCTGAATATGGGGGGCCCAGTGCCCTCCACCACACTGTGCCAGCCCAGCACTGTGRCACCAGACTGGCACCCCCAGCACCCCCAGCCCAGTCCCCAGGGACCCCTTGGGCTCCTCCTGTGCACAGTCAACACCCACCCAGAGCCCCCACTGCCCCATATCAGAGTGTGCTCACCATCACCCTCCCTTGAGCACTCCGCCACCCACCACCTATCCAGATCCTCTGCTCACCCATGGCCAGCTCCCCAGAGCCTCCACCCACCCCAAATTCACTGGGGACAGGCATGGGGGACACACCAGGGCCACTCCTTATCCACGCATGGACATCAGCACCCCCTGACCTGCTGTCACCCACATCTGCAGCACCTAAACAGAGGCCACCAAGGAAACAGGGTGACACCCCTGCACCCAGCTCCTGTGCTCAGCTGAGCAGGGTTTGCTGCTTGGACATGCCATATTCTCTTGATGGGATTCATGCCAAGACAAAAGCTGTGTGTCTGGCAGATGCCCCCGGAGCAGCCCAAGACTGCTCCKCTGTTGTTTCCAACACAACAGTGCTGTGTGTCTCCAGGAGAGAGAGCTCGTGCTTCATCCTGTTCTCTAAGCACTTGTACAGCTTTAAACATAAAGGAAAAATACAATAGTTGTTTCTTTTTCTTATTCCTCAGAGCAGTCACTCCATCTTTCCCACGGCCCTTACCACACTCAAAGCAATGGTCACGTGTGATTTGTTTCAGGAGTTAAAGGGGAAAATGGAGTTGCTTTAAAAAGCAGCACCGGKGTGTTAACAGAGTCATGGAATCATCGAATTTGGAAAAGCCCTCCCAGACCATGGAGTTCATCCTGTGCCCCATGTCCACCTTGGCCCCAGCCCAGAGCACTCAGTGCCACCTCCAGCCCTTCCTGGGACACCTCCAGGGATGGGCACTCCAAACCTCCCTGGGCAGCCCCTGCCAAGGCCTGAGCACCCTTTCCATGGGGAAATTCCTCCTGATGTCCCCCCTGGCCCTGYCCTGGCCCAGCCTGAGGCCGTTYCCTCTCCTCCTGTCCCTGTTCCCTGGAGCAGAGCCCGACCCCCCCGGCTGTCCCCTCCTGTCAGGAGTTGTGCAGAGCCACAAGGTCCCCCCGGAGCCTCCTTTGCTCCAGGCTGAGCCCCTTTCCAGCTCCCTCAGCCTCTCCTGGGGCTCCAGACCCTTCCCCAGCTCCATTCCCTGCCCTGGACACGCTCCAGCCCCTCCATGTCCTTCTGATCAGGAGGGGCCCAGAGCTGCTCCCATCACTGGAGGTTTCCCCAGTGCAATGCCAGCTCAGGGGGAATCCCCTGTCACACAGGAGTGAGCCCCTCATTTACACCTTCCTGGCCCCCAAAGGAGAGACAGGGCTGGGATGAAGATTAGGGGAAGCCATGCCRGAACATTAACAGAAATACAGAACATTAAGTGCTCCTGACAGAACAGGCAATGGTGCACATCTGCATTTTGTCTGCCTGGGTCCAGGCAGGGATGAGTTTGAGCTCATGCAAACCTCGAAGCTGGTCTTGGAGCTTCCCAGACACATAATAACCATAACAGAGAACCRTGGGATTTTCTGGATGCTGTTATGATGCTTGGTGAGGATCTAAAAAGCACCTCAGCCATGCCAGTGAGCACAAAGGTGAGAGGAATTTGTGTGAGGTGCCAGTCTGGGCTGCTGAGCACAGACAATGGCCAGTGACTGAATCTTCTGGAAGGCTGGTCCAAACATTGACTCCTGAGCCTTGGCACTGAGCATGGAAGGCAGGCAGACCCAGAGCCTGTGCTGGTACAGAGGGAGAGCCAGGATCGAGTCATGCAGACCCGGCCATGATGCCCAAAGGAAAACTCCCAGAGCTGGAGAACAACATCTCACATCATCAGGCAAGGAGTGTTGGAATTGTCCAAGGGCTCTCAGGAGCAGCAGCAGTGGCATWGTGCAGGAATGGATCCTGTTGGAGACACCAGCAGCATCTGGGATGTGGTGGGAGGTTTTCTGTGCTGCCTCAGCAGCGACAACAGGATCCCAGTGAAGTGCCACAGGCAGAAAGGAGTCCAGAGGAAAAATGGAGCCATTCAACAAGGAGCAGGTGAGAGGGACTCAAATGTCCACCAACACATTCCTTCCTGTCCGCCACAGTCCCAGGGGAGCAGAGCTGAGAGGGATCCTCTCCCTCCTGCAGAGCATGGGACCATCCCCTGCAGATGGGTTCACATGCAGCCACCAGCACCTGTGAGCTCCTTCAGCTTCCTCAGGACAAATCCCAGGGTGCACAGGCAGTGGCAGTGCCAAAGAAATCCCAGAGCATTCCCAGTTCACAAACACAGGGCTGTGAGGTGAAGAGCTGTGTTCTCTGGTGGCTGCCCAGCCAAGGACCCTCCCTGGGSTGTGCTCAGATTTTGTCTTCTTCCTTCACCAAATGAGGGATCTTGGATTCTGACTGAAGAGTGAGGATAGCAGGGGAACCCAAAAAAGTCTACAGGATTGGGCTGGCAACAAAAAGCTCCAGAAAAAGGCTTGGTGTGGTGGAAACACAGAATTTTGGCAAACCAAAATTGAGCTATGTGAACCTCTTACACCGTGCATCTCAGCACAGCACAAGCTTCTCAGCTCCATCTGCTTTCCCTGCCTGCCTTTCTCTTGACACAGCTGACACCCTCCAGGTGATGAGACCCTGCAAAAGCTGGAGTCAGTCATCCACCCATTCCCAACGATGCCCATTCCTGAGCTATGCCATGGCCACTGATCCCTGCAGGATGCTCTGGCTTTCCCCCTCTGGGCTGGGCACTCCTGGGACTGTCCCATGAACCCACTGGAGCAGGACAGGCACTCGTGGCCAGATCCTCTTCCCTGACCCTCTTCCTTCCCAGTGGGGTGCTGGGGTCCAGTTTTGCCCACTTTACGGGCAGATTCCAAGGCCTCCATGGCTTYCAGGCAGAAGAGACACATCCCAGCACCAGGCAGTAGGAATTACCCAGGACTTTGAGATCATCTGGGTTTTACAGACCTTGACTGCTCTTGCAGAATTAAAGCATCACAGCTGGGAGCACCAGCTGCCCTTTCCCTGGAGTGTGGGCACGGGCACCTGCCTGCCCCATGGGACAAGGTGTCGTGAGCCACCAGAACCTCCCTGTGCTGCACACTCTGCTCCCCTGAGAGGACCTGAACACACCAAGGGCCTTCCAGAGASAGAAAACACATCCAGGGCTCCCTACACGTCTGGTATTTGGCACAAGCAGATTTGAAGGTTGCTTTCCTCTTCCACCTGGAGGGCACGCCCAGAACGCAGGTATTCCACAGCTCTCAGTGAATCTTCCCATTCGTGTCCAACTTTACAAAATGAAAATAACAAGGTCACAGTCGCATCTTAGTTTTATTACAACTGACCTGCAGGCAAAAGGATAGAACTATTACATAAACACTCTGATCCATGTATAATAGCTTAAATAGAGGAGGAAGTCAAACCAGGATACCGGATAAAATATTCGGAAGCTCTTTGAAGCAGTTATGTTCCTGAGCTTCATTTTACAGACAATAAGGCAACATCCCTGCACATCAGCTTTCTGGTATTTTTTATACATTTTTTCTATGGTACAAGAAAAAAAAAATAACCAGGATTCACAATGTACAGTTCTTACACTATTTTCACAGCTTCTGAACACTATACACCTTTTTTTTCTTTTTTTTTCTTTAATAAAGATACATTGCAATAAATGGTGCACCCATAATAATTTATAATGATTTGTTGAATAGGCTAAACCTGTCCTGTACAGCCACCCAGGCAGCAGCACCTCATCCCTGTCTGTCACTGGCAGCTCAAAGCTTTGCATTTCCATTCCCAGCAAACCGTTCCTGCTGCTAGAGATGGGTTCAGCACTACAGCACAGACTCAGCCACCCTGACAGGGCACAAGGCAGAACCGTGTGTTTTGGGAGGATCCATCTGTGCTGGCCCTCTGAAAGGTTTTTGGGTTGCCTGTCACCAGGGAGAAGTGTCAGACTTTAACACCCAAAGGGAGGGGCAGAGCCCCACGTGTGGCTGCCCCTCCTGGATCTGGGTCTCTTCAGCCACCCCAGCCAGCACCTCTCGACACCTGGAGCACCTGCAGTCCCATTTTGGGGGCTGAAGGCTGCAGAAAGGAATCACAGCTCCGTGGGATTTGCCTGAGAAAGGCCCTCGGGGTGGGGACAGAGTGACTGCTTTAGACATGCTCTGTACAGGTCTGATCCTTCCACAGGATGCACCAGGGCTGTCAGGAATGAGAAGTTACTGCAGAAACATCTGTCTGTTTTGGGAAGRCTTTGGTGGCTGCTGTGCCTGAGGAGCAGCCCAAGAGGAACACAATGCAGGAAGGGCAGGACCATGGGATGCYGTGGGCTCACACCAGTGCCAGCCTCGGTGGCAGCAGGAGCAGCTCCAGAGCCAGCAGGACACATCACCTCGGGGCCACCAGCAGTGTCCCAGCACAGCCTGGGCTCTCCATCAGCTGGGAGGGGCTGTTCTCAGCACTCTGCATCGGGCCCTTTGGCAGCTTTGGCTGGACACAGAACCCTTCCTGGGGATCCTGCCAGCACCACGCTGTTCTCATTCCCACTGTGTCCTGGCTCCAGGCTTGCAGCCRAGCTCTGCCAGGAGGCTGCTCTAGAACTGATCAAGTCCCACCAAACACCTAAAGCAGAGGGCTCAAAATGGAAAGCAGAGACACTGCAGTCCCCATTTTATCCTTGGTGTGCAACTAAACACCTGAAAACTGCAATATTTGGGGAAAAAATAGTTTTCAGGAAAAATTAATCTTTGAAAAATATGTCAAATGAACAAACAGAAAAGCCTGATGTGCTGTTTCACTTAYGAATGGACCAGAGTATGACAGCTTGCCTGGCCCTGCTGGGCAGGATGATAGGAGTTAGATGGTCCTTCATTTCCACCTCATCTCCTYCTGCACCCAACAATCTGAGAGGTTTGCTCCAGTGCAGCATCAGGAGCTATGGAGGTCACAGAAGAGGTTTAATATCCAGGTGGTGGTGAATAATCTCCAGCAAGCTCAGCAGGGCACAACAGGCACAGAGCCCTGAGGCAGCCAGGGGCACCCCTCCATCCTGCTTGCATTGGTGAGAGAGCTGAGGTTTGGAGTTGTGAGGGACATGGGGATGGGAGGGCTGGGCTGGGCCAAAGGCACCAGGGCTGGGGACAGCAGGAAGAGGAGGAACACTGGCCAGAAGTCACAGCCACTGGCTGGGGGACCATTAATGCAGCTGCAGCCTCTGTGGACGGCACTGGGTGAAGGCAAAGCAAAGCCAGTGGGTGGTGAGCACTGTGCACTATAAACCAGGTCAACAAGCAGGTTAAATTCAATCAAGTAGTTTAATAATTCTTCAGGTCAAAGGTCTTATCTTACCAGGTAACAATTTACAGGACACCTAGTTAAGAGTGAAGAGTGGCTGGCTTGGTAAAAGGAGGAAAAATACATTATGTCCCATCTCAATAGTTTAATGTTAGCCTCTTTCAACGCAACATATTTTTGGTAAAGACATATTCACTATATTTAACATGATCTCTCTTTAACAGGAAGTTCAGCTGAGCACACTGTCCCCAGAAAGTACACTGCGACTGTAAAGCAACAGAATTTCATAGCAGTAAATCTATTGCACTTTGTGAAGAATAAAATTCTCCTTTGCCTTTCCAGCTCCAGAAGGCAAAGCATCTCGTTGGTTAAGCAAGTTCTTCTCCCTCCAGGCAAAGTCTCTTAATGTTCAGACAGACAACGCCTAACTTTTGTTTGTTTGCTTTTTATTATTACTTGAAACAACAATTGGAAGAGTTTGAGAGAAAAATCTTTCCAGTAGCTGCTGAGAAGTCTCCAAGTTTTGAGTCTAGAAATGAATTTTAGGTGCTATCCAATCACGGTCAACAAATAAATGTACTTATTTCCACATTTCATGAATATGTCCACAAAAGAGCAAGATGAGGTCTCTCTGTGACCAACACTAACACTGTGTGATCAGGTATTACAGGGATGCACTTTATATGTGACAACAGTATACAGACAGGATGGAAATAACACCAATATTATTGCACATGGTGTCTGGGCGAGCATTAAAAACACTGCAATATGTGATGAAAATTCTTTACAGCTTGTTTTCTCTCAGCCCTTTTTCTAGAGTTTGATGTAGCAGCAGTATCAATCCACGTACATTGGAGAGCTGGGAGTTGCTGGCATTTGATCCAGGATTTTACAAACATAGCATGCAACATCCACTGTGCGTTCCTCATACATCAGGATGAAGGGATGTTTCTGGAATCAGATAAAACACAACAAAGTTATGGCYGCTCTCCTGGCATGTGCTCATCAGRTGAAAACTGAGCAGGTGAATTTGCCTGGTGCAAGAACATGGCTTTGTGGTGACTGTAGGACAGCAGGACACAGCCTGGTCCATGGCTTTTCCACACTGGGAATCCACGTCTTTAACGTGGGAGGGTAATGGAGGTGGGAGGTCACTGGGGTAGGACAGGACTCCCGAGTGTCAGAGCTGATGGGCAGTGAGGGTGCACTGACATTTACTGAAACACTGTCAAGAGAGGTTCCATCATCAGCCATGTCACAGTGGGGASAGTGACAGGAGCCACAGGGGGTGGTTTGCAGAGGTCAAACCCAAGCCCTGCTCTCCTAAGCCCTAACCTCTGCCTTGAGCCAGGCCCAAATCAGAGCAGCTGGGATTTAACATCAGAGAGGTTCTGGGGCAGGGCACCAGGCAAACCCCTTTCACACCAGGTGATGTGAAACCCCACTATCAGAAACCCAAAGCTGGTTGTGGAACCACAGTCCCTGAACAGGTGCCTTCCAGAGCTCCCTGAAGGTGCAGAGTTGCCACATGTGACTGACCCAAGCCAAAAGAACTGTTGCTCTCTCTCCTTCAGCACCCTCACCACAAACAAGCCCTGCTGCTGCCCTATTCCAAAGCTCTGCTCCTTCAGATCTCACTTCTGCCTAAGCCCAGCCCCATGGGAGCTGTGTTGGAGGCACTGACAGATGAGTGCTGCCCAGTGGATCAGGAGCTTGAACAAAGGGAGCATTCCATGGTCCCACTGCGGGGACTCTGATTTGCTGCCACAGGGCACCTCCCCTGCTGACTCCCTGCCTTGCTGTTAGACACCCCCAACCTTGGCCATCACGCAGGCCAGAGGCAATGCCATGGAGGTGGTGCTCCTCCAGCTGTGGAGATGAACACCCCACCCTGGTGGCCTGAGAAGATGAGAAATGACCTGGGACGTAAGTCCAGCCCCGCTGTGTGACCAGCAGAGCCACCCAGCCAGCATTGAGAACTCACCAGAAGCTCTTTGTACTTTGGCCTTTTGGACTCGTCCTTTGTAAGGCTGAAGAAAGAGAAATAGGAGAAAGTGGGATCAGGGATATTGTTACAGACATCAAAGACAAACTGTCAGAGGACATAATGCTGTCACAACGGGACTCATCACCTTTGGTTTTCTGRAACTGTGAGTGACCACAGGAATAACCTGCCTTCCTCCCTCCTTCCCTCACAGCCCTCCCAGCTGTGCAAGCAGTGGCTGAGGCTGTGCCTGTGCCCTCCTGCCTCATASCCAGCTCTGGTGGCACATCCTGCACCAAGCAGGCCA